AAAATATCTGTCCTCCCACCCCTCCTACACATAACTGATTGCTCCCCCCACCCCAACAACCCCCACGCAGCCGAGGTGGCGAGGGTATTCCTGGGAGTTGAAGTCCACACATCTTAAAGTGGCCAAGGTTGAGAAGCACTGCTTTAGAAGGAGACCAGGAACACTCAGTATGTTCCAGAAATACAATCTGTTGCATTTTGACGGGTGTCCACTTGTAGCCTTCAGAAGGCAAACGGTTCGGGTCTACCAATACTAGGGCGTTTCGCCATTCCGGTGGCTGTTCCCACAAGCAGGGCATTCCAAACTTGCCCACCCATGTTGGTACAGCATTGGCAGTAACACACAGCTGTCGTGATTAGGAACCACTGGTGGTGGTCTTCACGTTTTCGTTGCATCCCCTTTGAACATCAATGGCTACCACACTATTTCCAAATAGCGGATTCAATAAATAGCTTGTCCTTTTTCAGAAGGATGGACAGGTTTGGAATTCTGCCAGTCTTTTGGGAAGACTGTCCCACAGGTCCCCCCAACTAGAAGTCAACGCTAGCCAAGTTCTTCCACCCCACCTCTTCTAGGCCTCTCCAGGATGGGCTCGGCTATGCTGGCTTGTTATTGTCCTTTTGCTGAGCTGAGCTTTCTTGTAAACTAAGATGATGGTAGAGGCCTCCCTTGACTTTGCAGGCAACTAGTAGTTTTTATCTATTCTTTTTTTAAAGGCTCGATGGGAACGCTGGGCATCAAGCTAGATGTTTGCAGGAGGAACTTCCTGGATAGCTTGAGCATCCTGTATTAAAAGCTACCAGGAGCACATCAAGTCCTAGTTGCACATAGAGCATTGCAAATTGAGAGTGGAAACCAATTTAACCGTCAGCTAAGGCTGCGTTGGGACCATTCCTCCTTTTATGAAAGCAGGCAAATGGTGATCTAGGGAGACGGGGCAGCGCTCCTTGAGGAGCAGATGGGCACAAATGCTTGTTCTGCCATTTCAGCAGCGATCAGTTGGATGTTTATGGGGTTTTCCTCTCCTCCTCTCCGTGTCACTTTGTTTTGTCACATGCTGCTTAACATTTTTGTGTTTCCTCTCCCCCCAGAACAGTTGTCACTATTTGGGAAGATCAGCCTGTCAGAGAGGCCCTGTTGGCAAGCAGAGGAGAATTCTCAGGGAAGATTTCTCTCAAACACCGGGTTTATTGCCTTGCTCCCCAGTTAGCTAGTTAATTCCATTTACTGCCATTCACAGAAATTTAAGGAGGATTGAAAAGCTGCAGTCTTGTATTCATGGAAAGGCATGCCCCCCCCCAAAAGATGCACAACAATGCATGCAAAGCTGTGTATTAAATGACCCCTTAATTGGATTTACTGGGGTGGATATTTGTTTGGGGAATGTAGCTATTTTAGACCCACCTTTCCCAACCTGGTTAGATGCCATCTTGTATGAACCCTGACCAAGTAGGACATGGAGTCAAATCATCCAGGAAAGGCTGATGGGACCTTCAACCAGAGTCTGCTTGGAAATGGCTTTGCAGGGCCTGGGGTTTTTTTTTCAATCATTTCTAGTAGAAAAATAAGCAAGTCAAGCGTTTGGCAGGATACAGCTATTTTCACTTCAACGTTGGTGAATCTCAGGCTGGAAAGTTTATTACGGCTTTGCCTATCCAAGGGGCCTTTGATTTCAATGGGAATCATTTGCGTTTTCACCTGCCAAGGATCATTTATGCTTTGCCTGATTTTTTTCAAGGGGGGGGGGAGATAGAGGAAGAATTCTTTTTCATTGAGACTGTAGTGGTCATTTGTCTTTGGTCCAAGATAGCCTTCTCCAAATTTGTTTCTCTCAATCTGTCCTTTCCAATGGAGTCCAAGGGTACATCCCACCCCACTGCAGTCTGTACTAGCTACTGATCAGCCACTCCTAACCTTCTGGATATGCTGGAATGCATCTCAAGAATTTGGTCACAAGAGCTGTGAATGGCAGGAATTCACATCTTAAATATCTGGAGATACCAGGTCAGGAAAGGCCATCTTGGGGCTTAGTCAGAACCAAAGTGTGCAGAGCTGATCCTCTATTGACTCAGACCAGTAGTCTATCATGCTTGGCTTTGCACGCTCTTCGTCACGGCTCCTGGCCTTCTCTGCACAAATAAAATGTTCTCCTGGCAATGCTAGAGACCAAACTCAAGAATCTTACAGATGCAGTGTGTAAGGATGCATATGGCCATTTGCTTCTCAAAGGTCAGCCCATCAGCAGTACACAATCCAACAGTTCAAGCCAGTGTTCAAGTAGTTTGTCCTACCTCAACATTGACAATGGCAACTGTTTACAGATACTCTGAATCTTGAGTTGTTCTTAGCCAATTACTCTCAACTTCACCAATTCCAGCGTGATCCTCCGCATCTTCTTTTCCACTGCCCCTCCATTATGGAACAGCTTTCCCGCCACCAAGATAGCCAGTTTGAATCTAACTGGCTTTTAGGCCTCCTGATCAACTGGAGGGCGTCTCTTTTGCTGCTGTATTCTGCACTTTTGAGTCCCTGGATTTGCTCTGGAGAAAAACAAGCCCTGCACTGAGTCAGTGAGAGGTCCAAATTGAGTGGTACAACTGAGAAGATTGCAGCCCACCATCCATGTGTGGTTGCCACTTGCCTGAACTGCCACAGGCTTGTCTGCTTATGCTCCTAACATGGGGATGCAAAGGCAGGAAGACCTTGGAAGGAGAAGAACATGGATGATGAGGCTGCAGTTTTGGCTTTGCTGGAATGAAGACACCGGACCTTGCACTGAGGTGACCTGGAGGGCATGCCTCCAGGACTGGCACCTATCAGAATCCCTAGATCTATAGTTGGGACTTTTAAATTCTCCCCAAATTAGTGAATACTGAGGTAAGCAGAACACAGCTTTGAACCATCCTGGGAAATGTGCAATGAGAACAACCTAGCTGGTCTTCTGAGCTGATGCAAAAGGCTTGAACCAAAATCACACTTTCTCTCCCCTTCCTTAACATCTCAAAACCATTCACACTCCATATGTGAACCTGAGATTCATTGGGATTTCAGAGCCCCCACTATGGAAGGTTTGATTATCTTGCTGGTTGGAAGACGCTGGCCTGTCCCATCTTCACATCAGTTTTTTTTTTTTTTGCTAAAAAGACAAGAGCTACATGGTGAGTTATTCCTATGAAGAGAATAATCTTGAATAATTGTCCCAAGGGATAGATGGGTGAGGAGGAGGTAACCAAATGGAGATCTTTATCACCAAAGCTGCATTGACCAGAAAAACACAGTGAGAAGATTCTCAAGTTGTGACAAAGACTGACTTTTCAGAACCCAAAAAAAGAAAAACGGGGGGAACCCCCCCCAAACTGTATTGTTCCTCAATTTTGCACAATAAATCAAGAACCTGTAAGGAAAGCAGAATTATGGGGTGCAAAACAAAAACGGGAACTATATTCCCACACATCCTCCAGGAAAGTTGAGAGTTTAACCATCAGGAAAGACGTGTTGATTTTTCTTTCTTTCTTTTTTTATAATCTAACCCCTGAACAAAATAGAAGATTTACAAAGGAAGAAAGATAAACAGGTAGCATTTTTGATTCTCAGTTTCATTTTTGCCTTCCTCTAGATCTTCCCTGTCCCCTTCCACCCTCATAGGGGAAAGCCAACAAGCCCAATAAACCAAACGTTCATCCATGATTGTTTCTCCCCACCGCTTTTTTTAAATCTGGCATATTAAATATAAATTATGTCTTTTGTCCCCTCCATATCTACTTTTCAAAACTTTGTGTGTATGCGTGTGGGTTGTTTTTCCCCTACAAAATAGGTTGGTCTGTAAAATTCGCTTCCCCTCCCCTCCCCTTTGTTCCACCTGGTTCTGCTTGGAAAATAGTCCATGTTTTGCCATTTCTTTTCCTTCTCGGCAAAATGAAACCACCAAACAAAATAACCGATCCAAACCAAAACGTGTTTGCGTGTGTGTGTGTGCGCATGTGTGCGAGATTGGGGAGGGGGTAAAAACGGGGAAGTGTTGAATGTGGGCGCGGGGCAACAGGATGCATCTGGAAGGAGGGGAGAAATTTGCATCATGTATATGAGTAGTCTATATCTGGAATGCCCCCCTCTCTATACCCCCGAGTTGTGCCGTAGCCAATAGTGTGGGTACTTTTGTAAAGACTGGTTCCGTTGGAAGGGAATATGGTATGGATGACGTACTCTTCCTTGGCCCGGTGAGGGTTGATAGGGAGCATCTGCAAGCCAGGCCCTCGGATCTCCAGGATGGAGTTATCTTTCTTAGTGCCCGATTCCATGTAGTCGTCCTTCTTCCGGCTGCCTCGCTCTCGCGTCAGCAGCTCTCCGGTCCGGTGGACGTACCAGCAAATGGCGGCCAAGACCAGAAAGAGGAAGACCAGGGCCACGGCGCCACCGATGATCCCTGCCAGGGGCAACCCAGCCATGGGGTCGAGGTTTTGCTCGTGGTTGAGGGTGGTGGTGGGACTGTACACGTCGGCTGTCTCGGCCTTGGCGCACACGGGGGTCTCATCAGGCATGTAGGTGTTGCCCGTTTCCATGGTAACCATGCAGATGATGTAGGTGGACTTGGGCTCCAGGGCGGTCAGGAGGTACTCCGTCTTGTCGCCTTGCACCAGCGTCTCAGTGATGGAGCCGACCGCTGGGCTGTGCCCCAGGCGCAACCAGCTGAGGCGGAAGGAGGCCGCTGGGAGGGCCGCTTTCCAGCTGATGTGGATGCTGTCGGCGGTGAGTGGCTTGACGTTAAGGACCAGCGTTTTGGCTCCCGATCCGGTTGCCATTGGATAGTCAACATTAGAATCGGGCAGCTGGATGCCCGGGCGCTTGGCTTTGAGGGTGAAGAGGGAGCCCTGTGGGGTGGTGACAGCTGCGTTGCTGGCAGTTGTCTTGGCTGCTGCCGCTGAGTTGCTCTGTGGGCCGACTTCAAAGCACTCGTCCATCTCGTTGGTGATGTCCTTGATGGCCATACCCCTGACCTTGTCCGGCCCTTGGCACATCAGTCCTCTCACGTTGACCACTGCAGCTCGGGCCTTGACCCAGTCCCTCAGCCACATGAGATTACAGCCGCAGTACCACGGGTTGTTCCTTAGCAGGAGCTGGGAGAGGCTGTCCAGGTCATCAAAGAGGCCCTTGGGCAAGGTGGTCAAATTGTTGTTGGAGAGGTCGAGCTTCTCCAGTTCCCTCATCTTGGAAAGGGTGTTGTACGGGATGTGGCTGATTGCGTTGTCCTGCAGGTACAGCTTCTGCAGGTGGGCGCTGGGCAGGTTGAGAGGTGGGGCTGCCAGGGAGTTGCGCACCAGCGAGAGCTCGCTGAGGTTCTGCAGGCGGCTGAAAGTATCATCCGCGATGCGCTGATTGGCGAGGAGGTTGCCGTCCAGCACCAAACGCCGCAAGCTGTTGAGGCCTTTGAAGGCGTGGAGGGGGATGGTGGAGATGCGATTGTCATCCAGGCGCAGCTCCTCCAGAGTGCGGGGCAGCCCGGAAGGGATACTGCTGAGATGATTGCGGGAGAGAAAAAGCAGCTTGAGGCGGGTGCTGTCAGCGAAGGCGTCGTCTTCGATGCTGACGGTGGAGACGGAATTGTCGTCCAAGTGGAGCTTCTCCAGAAGAGGGATCCTGGCCAGGGAGTCCCGGGCAATGGTACGGACGTTGTTGTCCTGGAGGTGCAGCTCTTTCAGCGAGCGCGGCAGGTTGATGGGGAATTCATCCAGGTCATTTTCATAGAGGTAGATGACCTGCCAGGAATCAGATGAATAGCACATTCAGCACGGCAGAAATGGAGGAGGAAATAGGGTACCCAATTTAGAAAGCAGAGTTAGTGTTCTTGAAATAGAACGAGGTGGGGTTCTAGATTGCCCAAGGCTAACCGGCTTTTAGAAATAAAATTTGGGGAAGGACAAAGAGGAAGGCCTTTAATCTTCTGTCGTGCCCCTCCTAAGAATGGGTCCCAAAGGGCAACAGAATTCTCTGCACGCAGAAATTTCAGTCTTCTGCCTAAAAAAATCACCATTCCTTCCCCCTAAAAGCGGGGGGATCTAAAATGAGGATATTCTAACATCTCTTTGATCTATTTGTGCAGAATCAAAATCTACAACTCTGCTGGTTTAGCTCAGAGCCCCATTTGCTGGATCACACGCCTCTCACCAGTCCTGCCATCAATGGTTTTCTTTTGGTTCAACGTGCTGTGTGGACCTAGCCTTGTGGTTACAAACTCTGGTGTATGGCCTAACATAACACGCAAACCCAGCCCACTGTGCCTTCCTGAAGAAACTGTAGTTAAACCATGGCTGAGTAGGTGGCATGAACCTAGGCACTCTACCTGAAGGAATGAACCAAAATATACCCCAGCATCTCTCAGGTGTCTTGGGGCTGTGTGCTTGATGGGAGTGTGATTCTAATCCCGGTGCCATTCGGCGGTTATACCCCAGGAGCGAACCCTGGATTATTCCATTGGTGTATTTTAAAAAAGAGACTCGTCTTGAACAGGAGAGAAACTTAAGTGTCATTGGCCCAAAACCTCCTTTTCCAGCTAGTCCCCTCTCGTTCGGCTCACCTGCACGTTGAGCTTCTTCTTCAAGCTAGAAGGGATCCCTGCGTTGTTGATCTGGTTGTTCTGCAGATAGAGCGTGGTGGCATCGTCTGGGATGTCAGCTGGGATGGACGTGAGGCCCCGGTCATTGCAGTAGATGAAACCGTTGTCACACCGGCAGACCGAAGGGCAGGTAGTGCTGTCGATCACTTCACTCAAAAAGGCCACCAGCCCATAGCAGAGGAAGATCCAGTCGCGCAGGTCCATGGCGGCTGCAGTGGTCACCACAGTGGCGGTCACCACGGCGGCTGTTGGCGAAGCAGTCGCCATGGTGCCCGGAGTCCTTGGCCGTCCCAGGGTGAAGCCTCTTGAACCTGCGGAAGGTGTAAGCATGTATTTTTAGCCTAGACTGTTGTCTTCACTCTTACCGTGAGGTCTCAGGGAAGATGAAGAACAACAGTTTCTAATGCTTCTCTCCACCGCTCAACTGAGCATCTGAATCTCTGGCCGGGTTCACACGTTGTGCTAAGACACCCTGTGCTTGGGTGAACCCAGGCCCTGAGACTGTAGGGTTTGATGCAAGGTATGAACCAATCTCATTTCAGGAAATTCACTGAACCATTATTAAACCATGGCTTGGCGTGATGCAAGCACCCAGGCCCTTCCTTCATCTAATACTGTCAGGTCAAGATTAAATTCAACCCAGGTTCAGCTACAAAATCCATTTCCCAAGTCAGCATATGTAAACCGAGAGGGGAAAATCTTTGGTTTTCCACCAGAGCGCCAGCTTGATTTACTTTTCAGACTTGTTCTAATTCTGAGTTAGCGCCACTTCTATCCAATCCCCACACTCTGCGCTCATTATTCTGTGTTGGTAGAAAAGGGCAGTTGCTTTTTGTATTTCCAGATGCCTCTTTCAACGCCGCAGAAATTCAACAGTGCTCATGCATCTGGGCTAAACTTTGTGCAGAAATTTATAGCATATCCTCTGTGATTTATGCCATTTCAGGCTGCAAGGCAGAAATTTCGTCATTGCTGTACACCCTCTCTCTTCCCATCCGATATTCCCTGAATGTGGAAATTTTACTGTAGCAGGGAGGTGGATCAGATGGAGGAGGAATCCTTTCCATTCAAGGCTAGACTTCCATAGGAATGGGATTTTCTTTCGTCACCTGGGGAAGGGTGCCCAGGCGTTCGTTCCCCCCTCCCCCCTGCATTCAATTTGATGCAAGATTATTTCTGCTTGCTTGGATTGTCTTTGACACGCAGTGTGTCTGTCTCGCTGCCCTTTTAGGTACAGCTGGAACAAAGGTGCACTGATTTCGTAAATGCTAACAACTGGCACGCATCGCAAGACAATAGGCGTAATTGGAACCTGTGTCTGCCTGCCATCTTGTTCACCCTGTTAAGTGCCAAGCCTCCCAGGGTCCCTGAACACCTTTTAAGACAGCTTACTTAGCATTAATGTCTCAATTGGGGGGTGTAATTGGGTTTTAATCAGAGCTGTCCCTCCCTCTACCCACGAAAGGGTGAGCAAACCTCCTCTATGCTTTAAGCTCCCCAAATTAGCTGGGAGCTCTTGAGGCCATCTTGTGAAGCCTTGTCCAACCTGTCCATTTCTATCTATCTATCTATCTATCTATCTATCTATCTATCTATCTATCTATCTATCTATCTATCTATCTATCTATTTGTATGCCACC